TTTGGTTTCAGTTAACAACCCCATGTCCTATGGTACAGATCATGTCCGCTCTATATCTTGAGAACCGTTATGATTTCAAAGTTTATACTTGACATGTAAATTAACCAACACTAGAGGGTGTATCATAATGTATGTAAATCTTCCTAGGTCAAAGGTCCGTCCGTCCGTAACAAATTGTGTCCGCTCTAATTATCTTGTGAACGGTTATGATTTCATACTTTATACTTGACATGTATATTAACCAACACCAGAATGTGTGTCATAATGTATGTACAACTTCCTTGGTCAAAGGTAAAATCTTTGGTTTCAGTTGACAACCCCATGTCCTACCACACGTTATTTACAGCGGGGTCCACAGAGATGGCTCCCTTCTCAATGATGTCTAGTTTTATTTCTTTTGTTTGCTCTTACTTGACTGAGTACCAGGATGTCCTACCACAGAGTAGGTTACATGTCGAAAAATTATATAATCCGGAGTCAATAGTCGGTATAAAAAATGCCTATTGCTTGGTTAAGATTCCGAAATAATTTTTTTTATCAACTAGAACCGTTGATATCCTTTGTTCATTTCCAATGACACTTAAATGCAACGTTAACAGTTAAACAAAATTAGTCTATGCCCACCTAGATCTACTCTAATGCAGTACCACGTAAAAAAATCAAGTTAGGCTATACAGCTCGTGAACTGCTTGCTAAAGTACTATGAGACAAGTAGGCATGTTAGTAGTACACAGCATGTGTATTCACATACCGCTATGGTGACGTATTTCTGTCAAAGATATGAGACTAGCCCAGGCACAGTCTTTTAGCAGCGAATTATGCTTACTTACCTGAGAACACACTACCAAACTACCAAACTATAGGTTGTACATGCTGCATGTGTCGTGTGAACTGCGGATGGCATACGATTTGACTTAGTGAATTATATGCCACCAGAACAAATATCATCATGCATTCACAGATTGTGCCATGCGCACTGCTCGGATTATGAAGTATAATTATGACATCATTTTAATGATTAAATGACAACTTTTCATTTAAAGACGCCAGTAAAGTTTCTGTAACATAACGTGTTGCCCTTATGCATAAACATGTTTTATAATAAAATTCTAAAATTAAATCATGTTTTATTTCAATACTGCAACATCCACTAGTCTAAATTATGTGTGAAATATTTACCACTGGACATTATCAGCAATCATTCAATCAAGGACTTTTAATTTGTATAATGCCTATAATTCTATAGTTAACTTATAAATGTTAACTAGGGTTATTATCAAATGATTTGCGGTCAAGGCTAAATCTGTCATGCGTGTTCATTGGTGTCTAATGTGTTCAATCACACAAGACATTATGTAATTCATAGTTTAAGGTCAGCATACTGAGGTCAGAGTTTCGATCTGCAATGATGGTTTTCACTTGTTTCCACCTATTCATTGCCCGGACGCTCGATATCATTTTGTCATTTACGTATGAAACATGTTATATAAAATATAAAAACCAGGAGATGTTCCAATGAAACAACTTTCCACCAAAGTTCAAATGACGTTCTGGTAAGCAACTATAGATACTTGTACGACCTTCAAAAAAGAACAAAAACCAACATAAAAGACCCTACATAACAAAATGTAAAATACTTCAAATGAGAAAACCAACTGCCTTATTTATACCGAAACAATTATTATAAATGAAAAGAAAATATGACAAAACTTAAATTCAGCTACATAATTAAGTCAGATATATCCGCAAATTTGATAATGGAATGGTTTCGTAAGATAATATCCCTTTGGATCCAAATGCATATTATCTGGTATTCATAGTTTCAAATACTAAAGAATTTGGCAATGGACACAAATATGCAAGTCAAACATTAAAATAAATAGAAGTTATCATCGCCTAGTATGACTGTTGCGGAAAAGTATGGTAGATCTTGTGCTACAACCTTTTTCCTTATTTAACACGGAATTAATTAAAGGAAGAGGGATGTATATATATCTATGTGACAACAACCCAACGACACATATTTCATTTTTGTATACAACATATTTTAGTGTATTTAACAAAAGGAGCAAAGACTGTGCATCATCTAGTAAAAAATGACAACTTGGTGGTTACCATGGTTACCCAAATTCATATGGTGGCTAGTAGGTGTAGATAACCATATCATTTTGAAATAATGCAAACACATTTTTCATGACGGGGCCTTTTATAGCCGACCATACGATATGGGGTTTTCTCATTGTTGAAGGCCGTACGGTTGCCTATAATTGCTTACATCGACTTCATTTGAACTTTGGTGGATAGTTGTCTCATTGGCAATCATACCACATATCCTTATTTTTATATATACTGTTGAAATCGGTTTTGGCAAAGTTAGAATTAGGATAACATATATCAAGATAAGCAGAATATATCTTTCAGTTATTGAAGGAAGTCTAAGTTGGCTCATTAAAATATTATAAATTATATTAATAACATTTTAACAACGAATTTGATCATAACGTTACAATAATATATAAAACTTAAAATCCCCTTTTTTCTATGTCTTTTTGATTTTATATTATAGATTGAAAAAAGTAAGTTAATCATCGTTTTTACCTGTATAAGAATGAGTTTTTGTTGATCGAACCACCAGTCAACTAAATGTTTTACCCTAGTTTCACTTTCAATGTTGACATTATTTACCTTTTATTATCTGAACACGCCAAGTTCATGCGTAACCCATCTCTAGCTAAGGGGTTAAATTGAAGGTCACATGAATACGGATTCAATGAGATCGAATTATTCACTTGCAAGTGAATAATTCATCAGCGATGTTTCTTAGCTTATTTTGACAAAATTGAACTTAACTGGCTGCTAAAAGCGAATTATTATTTCACTATTTCACATTCATTAATAATTGAATAAAAAATAATCATATTTTAATTTCTTTTTTTTATATCTCGTAGCTGATGCCCCTTTAACAAACATTTTTTTTAGAAACGTTCTTCAGAAAGTTTACTGAATTTTGATAATGCACAAGTAACTTTCTTTTCAAATTACTTAACTGAAGATTTTTTTCCTCAATAGAAAAATCCTTATCCTATTTATATTTATAATCATGAGTCAGACATTCCCTGAAATATGCTGTTCTGTGAATAACTATTATAGGCAACATTTGTCTTCAATTTATGCCACATTGCCTCGGTGGTTCCGTTGTAGCGTGCTCGCCTCGAGTGCGAGAGGTCGTGGGTTCGAAACCAGGCCGGGTCCAACCAAAGACTTGAAAAAGTGTATTTGCTGGTTCTTCGCTAAGCACGTGACATTTAGGAGTAAGAGCAAAGATTGGTTGGCTCGGAATTGGAATAATGTGTCCGAGAAGGGTGACATGTCGTCCTGCGGATTGTTACCGTGTGAATTGGCTCAGCGTTTTGGTCTAGTACAACGCAGGGTTTATATTCATATCACATTATTATGTTATTGTCCTGAATATGCATTTTTTTTGCCACTGAACGTTAAACAGCCATCCATCCATCCTTCCATCCACCCATGCTTCTCTTGATATAAGGTTTAAACAGAAAAATCTGATGATAATATGTTGTTATGCTAATCATTAAGATTGTTTATTGATACTTATATAATTTGTTGTTGAAAGAGGTTCTGTATCAATAAGATTTAGGTTGTGTAATTTGTCTTTTGTCACGTTCTTTGCCTATAACACAATGTCTTATTCTTTTAACTGTAGTTTTGATAGGAATTATTACCTTATATAGCAAATACTTTCCAAACAGACCGTGCGAGAACCTCATGAGTACCCAAGGTCGTTAAACACCCCCTAGTAGTATTACATTCCAATGTTGCAAGAGTTGACAACTGCATTGAGGATGACGCCAGTTTTTGGTGGGGTTCGTGTTGCCCAGTTTTTAGTTTTCTATGTTGTGTTTTGTGTACTATTGTTTGTCTGTTGGTCTTTTTTTCTAGCCATGGCGTTGTCAGTTTATTTTCGATTTATGAGTTTGAATGTCACTTTGGTATCTTTCGCCCCTCTTTTTTAAGTTAATAGAAATATGCTGTTAAAATGTTTCTTCTGTTTTTACATTTCTATCGATGTTGCCAGAATAAAGTAGAGTGGAACAATAAAAAGTAGAAGAAAGATACCAAAGGGACATTCAAACTCATAAGTAAAAAAAAAAACCAACTGAGAATGCAATGGCAAAAAAAAAAGAAAAACGATCAAAAGACAAACAACAGTATACAAAACACAGCATAGAAAACAAAGGACTGAGCATCACCAACTACACCAAACACCGGGGTTGATCTCAGGTGCTTCGGAAGGGTAACAAGATCCTGCTCAACATTCAGCACCCGTCGTGTCGCTCATGTAAGTACAAACCCGGTGATTAGTCTAATTCGGAAGGTCACATTCGAGGAATTCGGGATGTGATTTTCCACAGACAATTGGCATTTCAATAGAAACCAACTTCTCTTCTTGCTGACTTGATCCTTCATTCATATGAGGCAAACTTTATACGGGAACTTATAAGGAAGAATGATAAGAAGCTAGCATTATCCTTTAACTTCAAGTTCTGCTATATAGATGAGGTCTTCTCACTGACTATGTTGAACAGTCGAAATAAAGGATAGAACAACTAAAGTTATGTCTGCCTCATATCTTGGACTTGCATCTAGAAAATTGACACCCAGGGTCGGTTGCTTGAGAACAAACGACAAAACCAACAAAAGATGATTTCAGCTTCCTAATTGTGTACTTGCCATTTCTATGAAGCAATATTACAGCAGCGCCTGCATTTCGAATATATATCTCACGGTGAAACGATATTTCAGACAATGCATTTCCTATCATAATTTCCTTGTTAAAGGGTTGTTGATCACACGAAAGCTATCAATTCAAGAGTCCAAGTTGTGAAGTTAAAGTCAACCATCGACGGATATGTTCCAATTGTCGTAACCACAATCCCGTCTTTTATATTCTACAGTCAAAATATTAAGTCAACACCAACTCATCAATTGTATTTTTTACTGGTCTCTGAACTCTATTATGAGTTTGAATACATTAATCTATAAAAATGACACTGTGAAGATAGAAATATATGTTGAAACATTTAATTTAAACAGCAGAATATGTCTATAATTGCAATTTTTTAACATGGTTACTAGAACAAGCAATAAAGTGCTGAAATGATCCTTTTCTGTTTTACAGATTACCAGTATTCAGGTTTTTGATGATTGTCCAGTTTCTCTGTCGGATGTTAAGCTTTCTCTTTTCTGATTTGTCCCCTTTCCGTCTGACATACGTTTCTTTTTTGCTACAACTGCATACACATTACTCGTTGATGGTTGATCTTCACTTTTATCAAAGTTCGATTTGTTTGGTTTGCTGACAACAGCATATTCACAACCATTTTCACCAGGTGATGTAATATGCTTCGCGCTTTTCTTATCCGGGACAGCGTAAACATCGTCTTGAATGGTCATCTTTTTTTCTGGCTTTGGAGCAATAATCGGTTTTTGATTTGTAGATTCGTTTATAATCGACGTGGTCGGTTTCGGTTTTTCTAAGTCAATTGAACTGTAATCTCCAGTTGATTCTTCGACTGTCGGTATTTCATCCCAATCTACTGTACTGTAATTACCATCAATATCCACTGATATCCTGTTTGTATCTTGGCAATCGGCGCTGTTTTGTGGTTGAGGGGTACCAGTTGGTTGTGATGAAACATATAGGACATTTTCACGCATGCCATAAGCATCATAATCATTATCAAGTGCAGGAACCGGTTTAGATGTTGGTTTTTTATGATATCTGAAATGTTAAAAGTATAGCGCATTTGATACCACTTAATAAAAGTTGCTGGTGAAATCATCTACTATACTGGGTCAACATGGTCAATTCATTTTGTGAAAGTTGATTAGCATATGATATACAAACATGTTGAGAAAATATTTAAATTTGGTAGCAGTAAAATATCTAATGCTCATTAGTAGCAATAAAATACAACAATCAACCTTAACTGTAGGAAAGTGTAACTAATTCAAAAGTACATGTAATTAGGAAAATTATATAAAAAATAAACAACAAATCACAACTTTAAAACAAAATCTCAGCATTTTGATGCTAATATTACACACAATTTGAGTTATTTCTAGTTATCTCACTTGATATGTCTCCGGATATCTATAACGTTTTTAATCATCATTTTGAAAATCCCTGATACAGAGCGTATTAGAATATATTTTATTTTATTGACATGATAGGGGAAGAGAAATATGGTATCGAAAGAGACTCAGTGGAGCAATCTACTTCTCTAATAGCTAGTTAACGTTTAGTTTTGATCGTTTTGCAAATTTCTTTATTAATTATCTTCTAGATATAATATGATGTTTGTGAGCAGTCATAAGTCATGAGTCGCTTTTGTTGAGTCGTTAGAATACCAAATCAGAGGACTACAAAAATATGACTTTATTTGAATTTCATTTATTTTAGAGCTGAAAAAAGAACAAATCATACTTTGCTTATAGATGTATAACCAAAAGGTCTCGAAATGATTATATTAGCCAATTATAAGACAAAACATGAGATGAAAACTTTCAGGATGGTCCTCAAATGACCTTGCGTCAATTAAGTATTATTTATTCATACAATACCACAATCTTGACAGGTTTTAATCTAACATACCGTCTATAGATACAGACTATAACAATAATGACTATAATGATTACAAATCCTCCAACCGATGCCCCTGCTGCTAAAATTATTGTGTCATCATTATCTGGAATATTGAAAGACATACTATAGATGTTTTTAAATTTAATGAAATTGAATATAGATTAAAAAAACAATCATTTCAGGTAAGCAAAATTAGAAAACGATGATTGAAAACTTGGTGAACGTAGGTCTTGATTAAAGTTCAGCAGATTTTTCTCGAAAGGTGGCATCCGCTTGGTATAATGTCCTGTAATCAAGAATATCGTAAAAGAGAATATCTAAGAAGTAGTTAAAAGTAAAATCACAAAAGTACTGAACTCCGAGGAAAATTCAAAAAGGAAAGTCCATAATCAAATGGCAAAATCAAAAGCTCAAACACATCAAACGAATGGATAACAACTGTCATATTCCTGACTACATCTTATAAATTCTCCAGCTTAACACATTTCTGGCAAAACAACTGTCTTTTTACGTTTTGCCAATTAATCAGGGGACTCACATAAAGATAGTTTCATATTTTGTCTATTTTATTATTTAATAGTTGGAAATGATTGTATCCAAACGGTTCATGTTTAAATTTTCTCGCGTTTCAATGAAAAGTAAAATAACAAAAATACCGAACTCCAATGATTAGTGGGAAACATTTGTATTAACGATGCGTATGATTTTTCTAATTTAGTCACCTGAATATTTTCATGTGCGGGAAAATATTGTGAAAGCCTTCACTTTGTCACAACAGTCGTAGTGTCAAGATGGACCCTGGGATAGACTCTCCAATTCAAGAAGCCATTGCAAACGAGGTTAAAAGTGTTTTCGCTAGTTCTCAACAGGACATGTTAAACAATATGACCGAATGGATGGATTCCAGATTGAACCGTTTACAAACCATTATTCAACAATCACAGTTTGATATTTCAAATGCACAGATCACCAAAATCAAGGAAAGTGTATCAGACAATTTCAAATTTTAGAGAAAAGGGAATGAAAATCAGTTTCGACACAGTTTGAATGTCATGTGCAAGCTCACCGAGGTCCGATCCTTGCTTGATACTCTTGATGTCAATATTTTTAAAGCAGGTGCAGCAAAAGAAAAGTAACAGAAGGTATAGACTTAGTTCAAGAGCTCCAACAGTTAATTAAGTTAGCGGATGCGTCCGAGTTAGGTTGGCGTGTAGTACAAGAACAAATTTCAAATTCGATAGCAGACAATTCTGAATTCAAGAAACGTATCATTAGAGCCCATTCTAGAGCCAAATGCCAAGATACGTTTGAATAGAGCCAAATCTAGAGCCGAAAGAAAGTCAAAAGTGGAAAAGTCAAAACCACGTCAAAGACTTGTTCCATATTACAAAGATAGGAGTGCTGAAGACAAGAACTCAAACTATAAGCCTGGTGGATGTTTTACATGTGGAAAGAGATGTCATTGGAGTGACAATTGTCCAGAAAAGAAGAAGTTCAAGATAAGTACATTTGATTTATTACTTTTAAATAACAATTTCTATCATCTTAAACAAAGATAGAAAATTGTCTTTTTGAAAATACTATTTTACATTCGGTTTCAGTAACGAGCAAATATAAATCACAAACAAGAATGTAACGACTGAAAAGTTCTCACCTGAAACTGTTTTTTACTTACCTGGCACACTCGTAGGTAGATTAAAGATCAGGTAATATGAATGGAAATTGAGTTATAGATAATGCATATTTTAAGGTTTTTCTTGTCGTAGAACACACCGAGGGGTGTCAGGATTGATTAAATGAAAGACCGACCGTAGGGAGGTCTTTCTTTGGGCAATCCTGACACCTACGACAAGAAAAACCTTAAAATATGCATTATCTGACTTATATACCGTCAAAAAAATATTGTTTTTTATAAAGATTTGCAAAATTTAGCATCCTATTTTACCGACCACACTATAGTGGGATATTCCTTTCTAATGCGTTCAGGTTTTAATACGCCCTACGGCTCATTTAGAATGTGAAATAAAACTCACTAATTAATCTATATATATAAACCTTAGAAATTATTATCCATACACAATACAAATATTACTGTAACTGCATGAAGTAAGAAACAAATGAATTGTTACCATCTGATAACGGTGTATGAAAAATACAAGACACTTTGTAAGTAATTTATTGTACCAACTTAGTTTATGGAAAGGGGGAGGTGCTATGTTTTTTTTTTGTCTATTTGTAATGACATTTTATCGTGGAAAAGTGTTTATTTTTTCAACAATTTTAATTGAATCGAATGAAATATTCAGAATGATTTTCTTTTGAATAGCAATACATTTTTTAACAGATAATCAGGATATAATTATATACCCTCCCCCACCCCACCTCATTGTGAGGTACGTGAATGTTATTCAATAGAATATAAGAATATTTTATTAGTTAATCATTTGATAGAGTAAAAGGTATACATAAATGTAAAAAAGTTAAGAACTGACACGAAGGGGGCACGAAATCGTGATACATGTACATGTTACACGAAAACGAATATCAATACATGTAGGTCACAGTATGATTTCCTATTCAATGTGTATCGTCCTGAACATGCATGAAATATTTGCCACTGGACGTTAAGTAACCATCAATCAATCAACCTATTCAGTGTGAATCAATAAGATTTTCATAATCTTACACACGAATATGTTAAATCTGGCTTTATTCTAAAGTGTTATGAAAGTTTTACATTAAAATTCATCTCGCATATATGATAATGTCTCTGTATTGTAGCGATAAATTAGCAAAACTTCACATTATTTGTTTCTAGAATTCAAATTCGGGCAATGACGATTTTTTTACACCTATCATAGATTGAACTTTAAAAAATAAATTCCCAAATCGGCAACAGAAACTATCAGACGAATTTAATTTTGAAGTAAATTATAGTTTGCATTTTTATCAAGGAAAATAATGACCTCACACAGTATCCATAGTAAAAATAACAAATTTTCATTAGACAACAAAGATTTTGTTTCATCAGAAATTTTCAACATGTTATAAAAAGTTTGTATAAAAGAAGTTAGCACTAAACCGTTAGTCGTTAACCCTCTTACAATAGCATTCAACAATTTGAGTAAACCTAGGCTCGTCCTTGACTGCCGTCACATGAACCCACATATATTTAGAAACTAATTCAAAAACGAAGATTGTAAAGTTGCTAGAGAATTGGTCAATGAAAATGATTTTATTTTTAGTTATGATTTAAAATCAGCATATCATCATATCGAGATATTTAAAGAACATCGACAGTATCTAGGTTTTTCGTGGCTTTTTGATAATACATTAAAATATTATGTGTTTGCTGTTCTGCCCTTTGGAATATCAACTGCAGAATATATATTCTCAAAAAAATTAGATCTCAAGGCAAGGGAATTATTATGTTTAAGACGACAGTTTAGCGGGCGAAAATGATTTTGTCACTGCTTTACAATGAAGTAACCAAGTTAAAGCTCAATTAGAAGATTTGGGACTTTTAATAGCTTATGAAAAATCGCACTGGTTTCTTTGCTAAAAATTAGATTGGCTCGGTTACACATGGGATACCACAAAAGCTGTCTGGGTTATCGACAATATGAATATACTGTTTGTTTTGTTTAAACCTATACATTCAAGGGAGAGAAGTTAAGGTAATACCTATGTTTAGGCATTCGACAAATTAAATAAAAATTAAATATAGCTTAAAACTTCTTTTTTAAACACAATTAAATCATCTTTATAGCACTAAATGCTGTTTAACAATTTACTTAGCGTACAGCATTGGGCTAAGTTTTCCTGTGTATTAATCATGAGATATCCAGGGAGTGTATTAATCATTAGATATCCAGGGAGAATATCTAATAAAATATATATAAATGTTAGTATTATACACTTAAACATGATACATGATATAAATAAACATAAATATAAATTAAAACTTTATAGATCTGTTACATGTTGATTCTGCAATTGTTTAGAAAGTATATTCAATCATAGCTGTTAAACATTTTGTTTAACTAAGAATAAGGAAATCAATAGCTTAACAACATAAATTAATTATTTGAACGTGAAAAATCAGTTTTGCTTTTATTCTGATTATTAAGTTTTGGATGTATATAAATATGTTAATTTCTAATTTCATAACGATTCCGCCCATATCCGTGATCGTACAGACTTTGTTTACGATAGTCATAAAAATAATGTTAAATATTAGTACAACGAAGTTTGAATCTTGAACTCTTTATGAAATTTTAATACTGTAATGTTTTTCAATATTGTATCAAGGTCATGTCCAACATAATCCTTTCACATTATTTCTCTAAATCATTCGATATAAGCAAAAATTCCACCGAAGACCTCATTTAGTTGAATTAAATGGTTCCTATCAATTTTCATAGTACATGGTGTATTTAAATGAAAATTTTAATTCAGTCATATTTGTTTGCCAGTCAGATATGAAAGGGCTCCAAAAGTCAAAACATTTTACCAATATTTTATTCATTTGAGGCTTGTTAAATATGAACTATTAAGGTATGATGGCTTTTTAATTTGTGAAATATTGTACGAAATGGTTTAAATTTACACATAAATATTCCTCTAGGTACAAAATGGCATACATAGAAATGTTCCATGAGCTACGAAATGACATACTATACAATTAATGTCTTTTGATGAAGTAAATATCAGTTTTCAAAAGTCAATTAAACCACATATTTACCGAAACAAATGACAGTAATTGTTTTATTCCATATTCCGAGAGAAACAATATATTTAATGATAAATATTTACCAAAACCAATTGTACATCAAACATTTTACCAAAAGCGCGTGACGTTTAGCGCGGTGAATATCACTTTTCTCAAGGTGAATATGCTGTTTTATTCAAAATCCAATTCATATAGGGAAACCTACTAAAATTAAACCAATCTGGAATAAATATAAATATTCCATGAGGTACGAAATGGTCAAGGTATGAAATGGTCAGGGTACGAAATTATCAGGGTACGAAATGGTTTTTGTAATGGTACGAAAAGGGGGGGAGGGGGTGCGAAATGACTAGAATTCGGTATGATTATGC